AAATACAGACTAACATGGCTGCTACTCTGAAACCTGTTTTAATTTAATTTACCCTTTCCATGGTTTAACTCTTTTGGGGGTCTGTTTTAATATTAGTTTTAAACAATTAACTGTTAAAAAAAAATCTGTACTATAGAAGCTACTGGAAATGGATAGTGCAGATAGACAGGAGATGAAGCATAAATCAGATATGCAAATAACTTTTAAAGCAGCTTACAGATCTGCACTCGAATAGGGGAGAGGACGTTATATAATAAGAGCTGTTGCTCTGTCAGCCTGCTATAATTGTATTCCTGTGGTGCAGGAGAAAGGTGCCAGCTGTTGAGTTTTTCAAATGGCTTATTTTCAGTTGCAGAGCTTTCATTTTTTCTTCTTTTCCCCTGCAGAAAATACCTGGTTCATCAGCCATCAATGTTATATGTAGTATTACCCACATCTTTTCAGTTTAGTGTGAGCATGGGGCTTTTCTTTTAGTGTGAGCTAGCTTTTCTGGGGACCTACACAGACCTAACTTCCAGCCCTATATGTTGGCACTAAACTTCTACTAAAGATGACTCAAGTGTGGCCCAAATATATTTATATGAGTCATCAGTGAGCAGAAATACATTGGACTACAGGCTGTCAGGAACAGTATCCCCGATAATGTCACGGCAAACCTGGTGACTGAACTTTGTGACTTTGTCCTCACCCATAACTATTTCACACTTGGGGACAATGTATACCGTCAAGTCAGCGGCACTGCTATGGGTACCTGCGTGGCCCCACGGTATGCCAACATTTTTATGGGTGACTTAGAACAACGCTTCCTTAGCTCTCGTCCTCTAATGTCCCTACTCTACTTGCGCTACATTGATGACATCTTCATCATCTGGACCCATGGAAAAGAAGGCCTTGAGGAATTCCACCATGATTTCAACAATTTCCATCCCACCATCAACCTCAGCCTGGACCAGTCCACACAAGAGATCCACTTCCTGAACACTATGGTGCTAATAGGCGATGGTCACATAAACACCACCCTATACAGGAAACCTACTGACCGCTATTCCTACCTACATGCCTCCAGCTTTCATCCAGACCACACCACACGATCCATTGTCTACAGCCAAGCTCTACGATACAACCACATTTGCTCCAACCCCTCAGACAGAGACAAACACCTACAAGATCTCTATCAAGCAATCTTACAACTACAATACCCACCTGGTGAAGTGAAGAAACAGATTGACAGACCCAGAAGAGTACCCAGCCGTCACCTTCAGCCTCCAACAAAAACCTCTCCAACGCATCATCAAGGATCTACAACCTATCCTGAAGGACGACCCATCACTCTCACAAATCTTGGGAGACAGGCCAGTCCTTGCTTACAGACAGCCCCCCAACCAGAAGCAAATACTCACCAGCAACCACACACCACACAACAGAACCACTAACCCAGGAACCTATCCTTGCAACAAAGCCCGTTGCCAACTGTGTCCACATATCTATTCAGGGGACACCATCATAGGGCCTAATCACATCAGCCACACTATTAGAGGCTCGTTCACCTGCACATCTACCAATGTGATATATGCCATCATGTGCCAGCAATGCCCCTCTGCCATGTCCATTGGTCAGACTGGACAGTCTCTACGTAAAAGAATAAATGGACACAAATCAGACGTCAAGAATTATAACATTCAAAAACCAGTTGGAGAACACTTCAGTCTCTCTGGTCAGTCGATTACAGGCCTAAAAGTTGCAATTCTTCAACAAAAAAACTTCAAAAACAGACTCCAAGGAGAGACTGCTGAATTGGAATTAATTTGCAAACTGGATACAATTAATTTAGGCTTGGATAGAGACTGGGAGTGGATGGGTCATTACACAAAGTAAAACTATTTCCCCATGTTTATTCCCCTCCCCCCCCCCCCCCTTCCTCAGGCGTTCTTGTCAACTGCTGGAAATGGCCCACCTTGATTATCACTACAAAAGGTCCCCCCCCCCCCCCCGCCGCTCTCCTGCTGGTAATAGCTCACCTTAAGTGATCACTCTGGTTACAGTGTGTATGGTAACACCCATTGTTTCATGTTCCCTATGTATATAAATCTCCCCACTGTATTTTCCACTGAATGCATCCGATGAAGTGAGCTGTAGCTCAGGAAAGCCTATGCTCAAATAAATTGGTTAGTCTCTAAGGTGCCACAAGTCCTCCTTTTCTTTTTGAAAATCCATCTCTGTTTGTAAGGACTTCAGTGCCTTCAGCATCGGCTACCTTTCAGAAAGTTAGTAAAACTGTAACATCAGTTAAAAACAAAACTGAAGAGGAAATACTTTCTTAAACAAGCTACCCAAACTGCTACAGTTCTTCCTCCATAGAGCTGACACTATCCCATCATTCCTTCTTTGTGTGGAAAGTATTGAAGACATGCACCACAAGATACTGGCTTTATAATTTGTTTCATACATGTCTCTGATAAGTGTCACTTGTCACCACACTTCTGCTCCAAAAGCATTACCTGGGCACATGAGGTTAATGTATGGAGACATGCTAGCTCTCTGTCTAATGACACTTGGATAATTGGCTGCCACATGAAATCATTCTGTAAGGTGTTTGTCACGTGGGCTTTCAGAATGCAACCTTCATTGGCATGTAAATTCACATGGAGCCTTCTTTTGAACTGATATGTTTTAGGATTTGGTTAAATTTTCTCTAAATGTAGTTTGTGAGCAGTACTGATTGACCTGTTAGCAAGCTCATCTGAGTTGATTGATTTTAGCAGATAAGGCATTATTTTAGAACAGGCCAGGATTGTGTGTTAGGTCTATAAATGGAAAACTTATTATGCAGGCTTATTCCTAATGCTTGCAAGAACAGAGCTGCTTTGATATATTATTTGGCTTTTATCTGTTTTATGAAACTCTGCTTTGTCAGCCTCTGGACATAGATTTCAGTAGCTTGATTTAGTTCTCCCTGTATCTTCTTTTAAGGGGTGAATGCACAGCAGACACACTTACTGAATCACATGGAAAATGTGCTCTGTGTGCACATACTGAAAGTGCATCCAAAAATCAGCTCTTTTGGGGGGGCTTGCGGGGTTATCCTATCCATTCATTTTATTAACTTTTCTAGTGAATTTGGTGCTTGCAAAAGGTGCTGGACTGACAGATCTGGGGTCTGATTTCACTCTCTAGCTACATAATCAGAACAGCATGGACCTGTTTCTCCTATGCCGCCCTCCACACCCAACTTGCCCTCCTGTAGTTCAAGGAAACTTCAAGCTCCATTGGCAAAACTAGTGGAGTTTTCAAGCTGTGCAAGCAGAATATATCTGGACCAAAACGTAATCTTCCCTCTTCCCCCATTCAAGCCCCACTTTGCAATAGTTAAACCTGTAAATAGTGTATATGTATTGCACAAATATTTTTCACATATCACTTTTCGTCTGTAGCTCTCAAAGCTCTTTACAATGGTGGGTAATGATCAGTATTCCCATGTAACTGATGGGGTGGGCACTGAAGCTAAAAGAGATGCCATGAATGTGAAATATAGATATTTAACTTCTATTTTTTTGAAGTATTTTCAGGTACCAGGCCTGCCTCCTAGTCATCTTACAATTTTTGTGATGTTAATGATATTTTGCTATGTCTTTTTTTTTTCCACTGATGCTTTGGTGAAGGTTCGCCCAAACAAAAGGTGAAACTTACTGACTGCAGTGTATGTATAATCAACTAGGCAGTGAACTATTTTATTTCAGCTTTTAAAAGGCAAATACATGAAACATACACTTACAGAAAGGTTGTCAAATGCAGAAGTTAACAAAATCCTTTTCAGGGTTTTTTTTTTTTCCCTGCTGTAAGTGGAAGAAATTAATCATTGGAGTTGCATTTAATAATAGAAAGCAGAAGAATTCAGACAGAACTGACTTATGTAGTGTCATAAGAACATATGAATGGCTATACTGGGTCAGATCATTGGTCCATCTAGCCCAGTATCCTGTCTTCCGACAGTGGCCAAAGCCAGGTGCTTCAGAGAGAATGAACTGAACAGGCAATCATTGAGTGATCCATCCCCTGTCATCCACTCCCAGCTTCTGGCAGTCAAGAGGCTAGGGACACCCAGAACATTGGGTTGCCTCCCTGACCATGAACTTATCTAATTCTTTTTCGAACCCTGTTGTAGTTGTGGCCTTCGCAAAATCCCTTGGCAATGAGTTCCACAGGTTGACTGTGCTTTCTTTACATGAAGCTGTGGTAAACTTGCTACCTATTAATTTCATTGGGTGACTCCTGATTCATGGGTTATATGAAGAAGTAAATAACACTTGCTAATTCACTTTCTCCACACCGTTCGTGACTTTATAGGCTTCTATCATATCTCCCCCTTAGTCGTTTCTTTTCCAATCTGAAAAGTCCCAGTCTTTTTAATCTCTCCTTATATAAAATTAATTCCATACCCTTGCTCATTTTTATTGCTCTTCTATGTATCTTTTCCGATTCTAATGTATCTTTTTGAGAGAGGATGACCAGAACTGCACACAGTATTCAAGGTGTGGGTGTACCAAGGATTTATATAGTGGCATTATGATATTTTCTGTCAATCTACCCCCATGGTGTTTTCCAGTGCCATAGGTGAAAGACCCACAAAAGTGGAAATATCTTTATGTTGAGCTGTCACTAGATGGCACCATATGAATTAAGATCTATAAGCCTTTGTTTACATGAGTCCAAATTACTATAAAAATGGAGATGGAATTGACAATAAAACAAGGCTTAGAGTTTCAGGTTGGTTAATTTCTCTTACAAGCTTCTAATAGAAGAGATGTCTAATACATTTGCTGGGCAAGTCTGTACTAAACTTTTAAAATCAAGGGGGTGAGTGAACTAGAGAATCTTCAGGTTCTAAGGGAGTAATTTAGTTGAAGAAAGTTAACTGGAGGGAAAAAGTCAAAGGAAAATGTATTTTCACTGAATGAAAATCTTCATTTTGTGTCTGAAGAATCTTTTTATTTCACCTTTAGGAAAGATTCGAAGCACTTTTCACAATCTATGATAATCAAGTGACATTCCAGTTGTTTAAAAGCTTTAGAAGAGTAAGGATAAATTTCAGCACCCCAGAGGCAGCAGCGAGAGCACGGATAGAATTGCATGAGACAGACATCAGTGGGAAAAAGCTGAAGCTGTATTTTGCACAGGTACGATGCAATGTGTAGATGCTCTAAATGCATCCTTATTTCCTCTCCATTCTGTACTTACTGATGGATTCTCTTTCCTGACAGCATTCTGAAGTTCCCTCTAACCACACACACATGCATCCTTTCTCCAATTCAGCGTGAATCTACACATTAGGGACTCTTTTTCCACCTGCAGATGATACAGCTCAGCAATTGGGTGGAAGGTTCACTCTTGAGTGACAAAGCCCTCCCCTCCTCCCCAAGCTGAATGCACTCCTTTCCTTAAAGTGCAGTCCTGCATCTCCTCTCCACAGACACGGGGTCCATGTACAAATTGTGTTGGATTAGTGGCTCAGCATGTGTTCTATACAATGCCAAGTTCATTGTCAGCATTCAGCAAAGTAACTAGAAACAGTCGGAGGAAATTGAGAGGAAAAAGTAGACTTAGGCTATGTCTACACTACGCACCTGTTAGCGACACAGCTGTGCCGCTACAGCCGTGCCACTAAAAGGCGAGCAGTGTAGCCACGGTTTGTCAGCAGCAGAGAGCTCTCCCGCCAACAAAAACTTCCACCCCCAACAAGCGGTAGTAGCTTTGTCTGCTGACAAAGCGCTGTTCACACCGGCGCTTTTCGTCAGCAAACTTTTGTCATTCGGGGGGGGTTCCACACCTCTGACTGACAAAAGTTGAGTTGTTCAGGTTCCAGTGTAGACAAAGCCTTAGTATTACGAAAAACTTTGTGACCATGAGAGAAGTCTCCCAAGGAAGTGGTGTAAATTCTGTTGCTTGCAACTTTTAAAGCTAGACTGGATAAAACACTAGAAAGGTGTTATGAAGAACAGTCCTACATTGCAAGAAAACAATATCTTTTCTTTCTCTATTAGATCCTCTAGTCTAACTTCTGTGATTCTGTTATCATGGTGGCATTGTTTCTTCAGGTCCAGGTGTCCAGTGAAGTAGGAGACAAGTCCTACCTCCTTCCCCCAGAACCTGTCAAACAGTTCCTGATATCGCCTCCTGCATCTCCACCAGTTGGGTGGAAGCAGAGTGAAGATGCAACTCCTGGAATAAACTATGACTTACTCTGTGCTGTTTCCAAACTGGGTCCAGGTAAGAATGTCTTCCTGCTTTTGTTGCTGTTCTGCTTCAGAAATGTCTGTTCAGTAGCTTTCTTCTCCTCTCTAGGAGAAGGAATGGAGTATAGACACAGATCTCCTGTTTGTCCCTACATGGTTGCTTGTGGGGACAAAATGGTTCTATGCCTTTTCTGCCAATTTCTTAATCGATTGGCGAGAGCTTCAAAGTTTAGCACTCTGCTGGATTGGATGCTCTTGAGCGAGAGCCACATATTTACTTAATTTTGCCAGTGAAATCTCAGTGCATATTTAATTGAATGAGAAACACATGGAAAGGTTCAGTTAGTTGGAGTGATCTATCTTAGCTATTTTCTAGAGTGCCAATCACTGCCATATTTAGATATGGTCACCATGTAATTTAACTGTCAAACCTTTTAATTGACCTTTTCTGGGGACCTTGCCATTTCTTTCCCCTGACAACGGAAACTCCCAATTTCTCAGTGCATGGTGTGACATGCTTTGTTACTGACTTGATGTGTTACTTTGGTCAAAAATCCCTTTCCCTCACTAGAACTCCGTTTGTTCATTTGTAAAATGCATAAAGTAGTAACACGACTTACTTCAGGGGGAGGCTTAATGTTTGCAAAGCTCTTTTTAGATCCTCTGAAAGGTGTGGTAGACGTGCATAGTGTAAATGATATTGCTTCAGTTTTGTATGCAAATTAAGACAAATATAGCTATAAACCCTTTAACGATGCATGTAAATTTGTTTCCATCTCTCCCTCCAAAATATCAATTAAGTGTTATTAGTGTGCAGAGAGCACAACTTACCAAATATGGTGGCAATGTATTTCAAAACATGTAAGCAGCGCTAGTCAAATCAAGTATGAAAGTGGACTAAACTAAAGATGAAAAGGAATTAAAATGAATCTTTAGGTTTTTAGTACATCATTTACTGTGAATAATAATGGAAACATGTTTTGAAATAAAAATAGTTCAGTGATTATTTTTTTATTTCCTGTGGGATGGTGTTGTAGGTTGCAGAGTAACAGCCGTGTTAGTCTGTATTCGCAAAAAGAAAAGGAGTACTTGTGGCACCTTAGAGACTAACCAATTTATTTGAGCATAAGCTTTCGTGAGCTACAGCTCACTTCATTGGATATATATAGGTTATAGGTTGGTTACTTTGAGTTTAACTGTCGGACCTTTTCGCTTGCTTTTTCTTTGTGTTGTACTCTATAGGGGAGAAATACGAGCTTCATGCAGGAACGGAGTCTACTCCTAGTGTAGTCGTTCACATTTGTGAAAGTGAAACGGAGGAGGAGGAGGAGATGAAAAATCCCAAACAGAAAATCCTGCAGACAAGGCGCCCAGATCCTAACAATCCAACAATACTAAATGAATCTAAAACATTTGATTGTACACAGGAGGTAGGGGGTACCATGCACTGCTAAGTCTTGTGATGCTGTAAACAATATCTATATGAGGATATTAAATTAATACATGTATTGATGTCTGCATTGCTGCATTATATATGGCAGCGGGAGATTTTACTTGTAGTTGTCTCTCATGTTCAAGTTCTTAGATGCCAATATTCTAAACAGCACTTTAATATTAAAGGACTAACCCCCCAAATGTAGCAAATCCACCAGATTTAAAATAATGGCAAAGCAAGAGTTTGGGGTTTTTTTGAAGATATGTTACCATTTTCTTGATATTGTATAGCACGATGTACCAAATGCTAAAACAATATCTTATCAGTACCAGCTATAATGTTGGTTACAAAATAGTTTCTTCTGTAACAGTCAAATGTGGTATTTTTTGTGCTGGTACAACAGCTTCTAATTAATATATTGATTAAATATAAGTGTAATATACAGTGTACACTAAAATTCCTACACAGATTGGCCCATTTTTGAACATGTTCCGGTTACTTTTCTCAGAAATGCCAAATACTTTTTATTTTAAAGGTACCTTTATGATTTGACATGAGGCACAAATACATGTGCAGAATTAAATAAGTTGTAGTTGGCAGAACTGCAATTAGGAAAAAAAATAAAGAGGGAAAACCACAGACCACTTAGGAGGCAGATGGAGTTTGCCTCTAAAATATTATGCTGCTGTAGGGTGGTGTTACACTGATAGGTACAATTGTTCGCATTGACAGTTGATTAAAATAAAAACGGACTTACAGTATGTTGCGTGAAACATGGTTTTGCCTATAGAATGTTAAGCCTCCAGCCCTCTCTAACAATACTGTAATGTCCCCCTGTCATGGAGATGGCCTACATAATATGTAAAGTGAATAATCATTAGATTATGATTGTGATGTTAGAGGATAAGAGGTCCAGGGTTAGTTTTTAACTTTTGCTCCTAAACTTTTACAGTTTGCTTCCTTTTTTTAAGACAATCAGTTGCTAGATTGGTTCAGCTAATCTCCACTCTGTTTTTACCCAGGTTGCACTCCTGATTTACTGTTCTGATTAAAAACATGGTATTTTTCATGGCATCCTGTATGGCTGATAGCATATCTGCAACTTCTGAAATAGGAAGCACCTTTTGAAATATACATTTGTGGTTTTGTGAATTTCTGTGTTAAGTGTTTTAGTAGGAGGAAATATGCCTCAATATAGTGGCACATGCTCCTATGGTTTTATGCTATTTTATAAGCAACCTTTTTTAGCCTACACAGATTTTTTTCTATAAAAAATAGTTAAGAAATTCTTCGTGAACAAACTAGGCTGTTTAGGTTCATATTTGATTCTGTACATAAATCACTCTGAAATTGGCCTTTACCCAAATCATGATACTGTTTTTTAATTATGTATAAAGTGTTTATTGAACTCTCAAAAGCATTTTGACTTGATTGACAGCAAGAGAGTGCATTAATGGTGATAAATTCAAACAGGCACAGTAGATATGACTTCAGTATTGTGTCAGCTATTGATTTTTTCCTGCCATCAACTTCAAGTTGCAAGATGGGATCCTGCAGGCAGGTCCTCGTTTTGGAGACAGGAATAGTATACATTTGAGTTGAGGGGTGGGGGGGAAGTAAGAAAAATCTTTCCTCTTATGTGTCTTGCCTGTATTGACATAACATTTATGTAGCTCTTTATTATCAAGCCATTCAAAGCCTATCTTACCTTTTTCACTGTTCCCCACCTCCAGTTGCAAACTTATATTGTCAGTAGGGACTTGTGCATTGTAAAATGCTAGAAATCAATTTGGGATTTTCTGTAATGTTACATTTTTGTTAGTTGCTCATTCACCCCCTAGTAAATGTTGTTATAAAGTGGAAAAACTTCAGGAATGCCGTCTTATTAGGCAAATGATCAAGTCAGTAATGCTATTGTGAAAGTAGCTTGTGTGAAATGTATGACGTGCATTCCAGCATAAAAGATCCATGGTGTAAAAAAAGACATGGAATAAAAATAACAGTGCCATTCAATGTTTTCCATTAACTGTATCAAGCTTGGGCCCATATGGAATATGTAATTTCTTTTTTGGAAGCTGGGCATCCTAACAAAATCTGTATGCTTGCAAGTTGAACGAATCGTCAACACCGAGGGTTTCTGGTTTGTGTTGGTCTTCGTTCAGATTTGTGGTGTTTGTGTATAAGCAAATTAGGAGTAAGACAACGTTTGTGTGGCTTAAAAATACTGCCTTGAATTAAATATAAAAATTGCCCATGCACGTCCACGCTCTGAATGCTTGGCTTTGAACTGCTAGTGCCTACCTTGAGCTAATTTCAGCACTGCAAAAACTGTTGATTTTCAACATGTTTTGTAAGAACAAACTGTTCTCATGTTGTTTTTGTTTTGGTGAGGTTATATCATTTTATCCTAAAACTGGAAAATGCCAATATCCCAGTCCCTTATTGTAGCTGATCAGAACATTCGCCTTGGAAAGTTTTGGGTGGGAGGGTCGTTTTGTTTTTCTTCTTACTAAACTCAGTTTCTCCAACTCAGTTGGTCGGGCAAGTTTTATTTGCAGCAAAATACCAGATACTTTTTCCTCCACTACAGAAAAAGTCCAGCCTCTATTACCACCATTGGGGAATATAAGTTATTCTTTACATAATTGGAGTGAGAAAAAGACCTTGGTGCAAGAGATGAAAGAATATTTTTGATCAAGTAAACCAAGATGTTCTTAAGCAGTCTCTGTTGAAATACATGTCTGGTATGTAACAGATGCTGCACTGGCATTGGTTGACATTTGCTTGATCAATAAATCCATCTTATCAAGCCCTTGAGCATATAGCCAATATGGGTCAATCATTTGGCCCTGAGGATCTGCCGGTAACCTCTATGTCCCATATATCAGATCTACCTTGAAAAGAGTTGAGGTGCATGCGAAACAGCCAAATTCATCCCTGGTATAATTCTTACTAGTCAGTGGTGTTTCACCAGGAATTAACTTGACCCCTTCTTCCTACCTTGAATGTTATTCTGATCAGTGGTATAAGAGTAGTGTGAATTTTTACTGGGAGTTCTTTTAAAACATAATTATTTGAACTTCTATGAAAGTAAAAGGGTTGTCGACCCAAAAGTTCTGGGTATCTTTGAGAAATAAAATTAAACAGCAAATTACCCTCAACAGCCAACAGAACTAAACCTCCTACAAAATTCTTCTTCCCCCCCGCTCCCCCCAAGACCTAATCTCTATCAAGCCCCCCCACTTTGCAGCACCCTGTACAAATAGATGAGCCTTTGCAGCATTTTAGTTGAATTATATCTCTTTGTGACTTATGGGATGTTTATACTGAGCAGTCAGCAGACCAAATTAATAGGAAAACAGCCCCTTCTTTGGGAATGTGGAATGAAGCTCTTTCACATTGCTTTGTTCATCTTTGCCATGTAATCCTAAAAAAAGGAAGGTATCTGACTTCATGATGCCCGTGGCAACATGCTTAATTTAAATCATATTGACTACTCTAGTTTGTAGCCAGACTGACTGCTTAGCCTGAAAATAAGCTGCAAAGATGACAGAACTGTCTCACAAGATGACACATGGTTGGAGAAGACCGGTTAGGTGAGGTACTCAGCTGGTGTAAATCAGCACAGCTCAGTTGAGGACAATGGAGCTGTGGCATTAGCTGAGTATCTCGCCCATCTGCTGAACGATCAAAGTTTTAAGAAAGTAATGAGTTTTCAAAACTATTTCCAAAAGCAAATACTAGAAAGCACACTTGTTGCTGGTGCTTCAGCGCTATGTGAAAGGTTCATTGAAGAGATGAGAAGAGCTATAGTTTCCCAGTTTGGATAATTCACTTCTCCCCTGGCTCAGATGATGGTAACTAATTAGTTGCAGCCTGTGTAACTAATGTAATGAAGTAATCCTCTTTCTCCTTCTCTCAAGATATTGGGTCTCCCTTTGTGAATCCTCTTTTTGGAATTAAAACAGACTACATATGATTTGTAAGAGGCAATGCAAGAGAAGTAGATGGACAGTATTTACGGGCCTGTTCTCCCATTTGTTTTGGTGGGAGGCTACACAATTAGAGAACTCGCCCAAAATGGTGATTTTTTTTTTTTTTTTAAACCGTGCAACTACAAGGTAGGAAGTTTGAATCCATGTGAGGTTCCACAGTGTCTCAGTCTGTCCTCTGTCTTCGTATTTTTATGGCTCTCCTCTTCACCATATCTGAGCACCTTGCACTCGTTAATGGATGTTATCCCTGATGAGGTAAGGAAACTGTTATCCCCATTTTACAGATGCAAGAGCTGAGGCACAGGGAGGATGGTGTCTTACCGAAGGTAACATAAGCCATGTGTGGCTGAGCTAGGAATTGAACTCTGGGCTTCTGAGTCCAGTGCCCTGTCTGCTAATCATCCTTCCTAGGCTTGAGCCAATCACTCTTTGGGTTGACAAACTCCCTGCTCCTGTATGTTGGGGATACTAGATTTTTTTGGTGGAGTTTCAGCTTTCGCTCACAATTGAGGCAGTCAGTTTTCCCTCCATCCAATAGAAATTGCCATTTCACCTACCTGATCTTTCCCTTAGCCCATATTTTGCTTTACTTAATCACTAAGGGCTTGTCTACACTGCGAAGTTGTCAACAAAACTTTTGTCTTTCACAGGTACTTCAAAAAGCGCTCCCCCCCAAAAAAGACAAAAGTTTTGCCAATGCAAGTGGCAGTGTGAACACAGCTTTGTCGGCAGAAGCACTCTCCTGCCGACAAAGCTAATGCTGCTTGCGGTACTGGAAGTATTTTGTCGGCAAAAGTGCCGACAAAGTACCAAAAAAGAACGTTTACACACACTGACTTTTAGCGACAAGGCTGTGTCAACATAGTCTTGTCACTAAAAGCTGCATGGTGTAGACAAGCCCTAAGATGGGTTTTACTTTCTCATAGTGCAGTTCCCTGCCAGCAGTTGTTCATTTTACAGGTGCTGAATTCTTTTCTCAAATTGGGAACTGAACATCAGATGTATATTCACACACAAGAAAATTGCAGTGGTTTTAAGTGTGGAAATTTGTGTATCAGAGCACTTTTGTGTGCCTAAAAACAAGGTTCTGCAGGCCAGTTGCCATCACACACAGTACTTGCATGGTTTCTGATATGTACCTCCTTAAAAAAAAGAACACTATATCATGTCTATCTCCTGGACTTCATAATGTCTTCTTTGGAAATGTACATTTTTTTACTGGAGGGTTCTGTGTCTATCACTGTTTAAAATGTTGACTTTGAACAGATCTGGACTTTAGAGAACTGATCTATTAATTTCCATTAAGCCACTACTTTTTAACACCTAAACATTGCACAATTAAAGGATTACATTTGAGAAGCAAGATGAATGCATCAGTTGAGAACAATGGTGTCTGTCGTCCTACTTGATTTCTATCTCTCACTCTTGCTGCTACTTTGCGTGAAGTGTTATAGTTCCAGGAAGTATTCAAGTAAATTCCAGCTGTTGATCACATGACAGCTTGTTCCATAGACATATGTTTCTCTTGCACATGTGATTTCTGTACTGTTTGGTCTTTGGCTAAATCTTCCATCACTTTCATGTCAGTATGTGACCATTTAATTCAATAACATTCTTTAGGAATTGAGAGTACAATCAGTCTTTCCTAGATGCAGTTTTTGCCTGGTCTGTCCTGTATTTTAGATGTACATTACCATTTTTGTCCACCTGTCGATGCGTGGTATGTCTGTGTTCTCGAGATGAACTATAATAACATGCACTCCATATTATATTGTACCTGATGTGACAATCCAAGCTGTAGTCCACGTAGACTGGCTAAATATGACCATGCTATGGTTGCTCTGACAACAAAGTCTATAATGTTCTGTAAAGATGGCAAAGCAGAATGTGTGGTTTGGGTTTGTTTGTTTGTTTGTTTGTTTGTTTTTGAAGCTCTTGTGACTCCTGGTAAGTTTTTTGTTTTTCAAAACTAAGAAATAAAATTAGTTTATTTTTGTTTTTTAAACTCATTGGAGGAGACTTCTTTCTACTTCGTGTATGTGTGATGTCAGTGTATCCTCTGCATCAGACTACCCTGGGGTTAATATTACTGTTTCGATATTGTGGTGCCAAATAAGCGCCTCTCCTGGACTGTACAAGTGGGAATGGCTAGCCTCTGTTTTAGCTGTTGAGAGAGGGAGGATGGTCCAGTGGTTAGTGCACTAACCTATTTGGAAGACCTGGGCTGATGTGCCTGCACTGTCATGTATGACCTGGGGCATGGCACTTAGCCTCCCATAGCCTTGTCTGTAAAATGGGCATCAGAGCAGACATTCAAAGTCGTGTGGGGCTCAGAACTATGTAGTAGGGGGGCCACATAAATATGATACAATATAGACCTTGGGATTTTGGAATGGTGTGTGGAGATTGTCAACCTTTTAATATATGGGAAAGGCACCTAAAGGTTTGGAGAGATGCATTTTAATGTCTACATAAATCCTAAATCAAACATACACAGATATAGATATTAAAGGGAACAGCTCTCGGATTCTAGGTGGGGCAGAGAAGGGTTATTAATTGTGCAGCTGAGGGGTGGAGTTAAAGTTGAAGGGGGAGGTTGGGGAATCATTATCTCTGGGTCAGGTGTGTGTTGATGGAGTGGGGTGGTTTTCTCATGTAGGATTGAAGGGGTATGTCAATAGGTTTTGCCTGGGGAATTTTGTGATCTGTGAATGTTTCTGTGCTCCCATGGGGTTGGAGAGACTACAGTGGGCTTTTCCTTGTCCTTTATACTAGCCTATGCCCTTCAGCCAAACCTTGTGGCATTGGAACTGGGATGGGTTGGGTGCCATCCCTTGTTTGGTGCATGTGAGATGCTCCAGGGAGAGTTGGGGGGTCATTGTCTTTTTTGTTTTTAATGGGGATGGAAATTATTGTCCTGTGGGGGTGAGATGCTCTCTGAGGAGGGAGAGATTTGGATGGATTGAGTAGGAAACGCCCTATTTTTAACTTGAAGAGGAAAGGATTGGGATGGGATGGTGAAAATTCTAAGCAGAGGCAGCTTGAGTGAAGTAACCCACCATGTGCACAAAGCCAGTGCCCCAGGGTCTGCACTGTCTGCCCATTGGCTACTGGGTTAGAATTTAAAATGTTGGTTTTGATCTCTAAATCCCTAAATGCCCTGCAAGCTGTCTGCTTGAGAAATTGCCCCTCTCCCAGTGCCATGCTGTCTCCTCCCACCCCCAGGCTCGAGAGCCCAAGCTGTGACATCTTGCATCTTGAGCCATTCTTTTTAGGTGTCAAATCTGAAAACCTGTTCCAGATGGAGGTGCTAATAAAGGAGGTTTTAGAACAAGTTAATAAATTAAACAGTAATAAGTCACCAAGACCAGATGGTACTCACCCAAGAATTCTGAAGGAACTCAGCCGTGAGATTGCAGAACTACTAACAGTGGTATGTAACCTATCGCTTAAATCAGCCTCTGTACCAGATGGCTGGAGGGGAGCTAATGTAATGCTCATTTTTAAAGAAAGCTCCAAAGGTGATCCTGGCAATTATCAAGCAGTAAGCCTAACTTCAGTACTGGGCAAATTGGTTGAAACTATAGTAAAGAACAGAATGATCAGACACCTAGATTAACATGATATGTTGGGGAAGAGTCAACATAGCTTTTGTAAAGGAAAATCATGCCTCACCAATCTATTAGAATTTGCTGAGGGGGTCAACGAGCATGTGGAGAAGGGTGATCCAGTGGATATAGTGCACTTGGACTTTCAGAAAACCTGTGCAAGGTCCTTCACCAAAGGCTCTTAAGCAAAGTAGGCAGAGGGAAGGTCCTGTCATGGATCAGTAACTGGTTAAAAGATAGGAAACGAAGATTAGGAAAATAAATGGCCAGTTTTCACATTGGAGAAAGGTAAAATAGCAGAGTCCTCCAGGGATCTGTACTGGGACCAGTGCTGTTCATCATATTCATAAATGATCTGGAAAAAGGGGTAAACTGTGAAGTGGCAAAACTTGCAGATGATACAAAATTACTCAAGATAGTTAAGTCCAAAGCTGACTGAAGAGTTACAAAGGGATCTCACAGAACTTGATGACTGGGCAACAAAATAGCAGATGAAATTCAATATTAAAATAAATGCAAAGTAATGCACATTGGACAACATAATCACAACTATACATTCCAAATGATGGGGTTTAAATTAGCTGTTACTAAAGAAAGAGATCTTTGAGTCATCATAGATCTCTGAGATAGTTCATCTGTTCAATGTGCAGTGGCAGTCAAAAAGGCGAACAATGTTAGGAATTATTAGCAAAGGGATAGATAATAAGACAGAATATCATAATGCCACTCTGCAGTTGTGGTTGCCCCATCTCAAAAAAAATACTAAAATTGGAAAAAGTACAGACAGGCATATGAGGAGAAATTAAAAAGTGGGGCTGTTCAACTTAGACAAGAGATGACTAAGGGGGGATATGATTGAGGTTGATAAAATCATGAATGGTGTAGAGAAAGTGAATAAGGAAATTTTATTTAACCCTTCAGATAGCACACAAACTGGGGTCACCCAATGAAATTAACAGGCAGCAGGTTTAAAACAAACATAAGGCAGTACTTCTTCACACAACGCACAGTCATCCTGTGGAACTTGTTGCCAGGGGATGTTGTGAAGGCCAGAACTATAACGGTTCAAAAAAGTAGATAAGTTCATGGAGGATAGATCCATCAATGGGTATGAGCCAAGTTGTTCAGGGATGCACCCCCATGCTCTGGGTGTCCCTGACTGCCGGAAGCTGGGACTGGACAACGGGTTAGATCACTCGATAAATTGCCCTGTTCTGTTCATTCCCTCTGAAGCATCTGGCACCCACCACTGTTGGAAGACAGGGTACTGGGCTAGTTGCACCATTGGTCTGACCCAGTATGGCCGTTCTTGTGCTCCTAACATCAAAGCAGCATCTGTGCGGCTACTTTGAGCATGCTAGCACAAGCCCACTAACACACGTCTGTGGACCCAGGATGGGAGACTTATGTGGCAACTTTAACTCTCTCTGAGTGTAGATCAGGGATATGAATGAGTACGAAAATTGATCTACCCTTTCCCCTGAGATTAGTCTCTCTAAAAAGGGCTAAACCAGGGCATGGGGCTTTCCCCTATGGTGTGCCAGCTTTATGCAGGAGGAATCCTTCAGTTCCTAGTGCAGAAAATCTAGAAAATGAAAAACGTGCACCCCATCTCCCCCATTCACGCACCCAGTGCCAAATTCCATTTGCTGGCTAAGAAAAGGTGCAAAATAAACCCCACATGGCTGTTCTTTGCCCTGAGATCAGAAAGGACTGATTTACTCTGCCAGGTAAAGGGATGACTCGTCATGGCCCCTCAGCACACAATGTGATGATGTCCCCAGGAAATGAGTCTGTTAAAGTGGACAGGTGTGACCTAGGTTTCATGTTTACTATGTTCATAGCAAGCAAAGCCAAATTAATTGTAGACGTACAGCAATTAAAATTGTGCACTTCACCCTCATTTTTGACACTGTGGTTGTTGAATTGTTGCTAATACAAAATGATTCTCCTGCCAGTCCAGGACTACTTACGGTTTCCAGAGCTTTTTCTCACCAACTAACTCGAGAACAGACAAACACTTTGCTGCACACCTGGCTCTGTCTCTATCTTTTTCAGACATTTGGTATAATTTTATCCATGATCAGCTCTGCGGACAACATCAACGTTTGGAGTAGTAACTACCATAAAGAAGGATGGAACCGACTTGCAAAGGGAGCTGGAAAGATTAGAGCTGTGGATGAGAGGAGAGTCGGTCCTAATAAAAGTAGGTCCTACACCAGGGGAAAATACAGCACAGATACAAAGCCGGGGGGGGGGGGGAGTGTATAATCAAGGAGCTGCATCACTTTCAAATATTACATTAAAATCATGTAACACAAACTGAGCTCTCTTGTATCTGCAAGAAAAGGGTAAAATCGGGATTGGGAGGATCTCTGTATTAAATGAGAACTAAGGGCCACAGTGTTAAATGTTTGGTTAGATATCGTAACCGGGTGACTGTTCATAAGGCCTTGTAGACATACGCTAAGCACAGGCACCTCAAGATGCTGAAGGAGGAACTAGGGACTGGGAGTCTGGACTAGAGAAGGTTCTGCAGGGAAATCCTTGGAAGAATCAGACTCAGGAAGGAAGTGTGGATTGAGTTTTCTTTTGTTACTCTTTGGGTAACCAATAAAAAGCCTCTCAAAGGCACAAAGGACAGCTAGGCTCCTAACTCCCATTGACTTTTTGGCACTCATTTAGATTAAGGTATTTGTAACCGAACATGGTATTGTGCAGTGCTTAGCACAATGGGCCCCTGATTTCAATTGGCTCCTCGGTGCTACCATAATACAGATTAATAACAATAAATTGCCTGTGAAATTCTTCCCCAAAGCCAAACCCCAGGAAGGGTGTGTGTTTGGACTTTGCATAGGGTGTGCATAAGAAAAGGCTAATGGTACTTACCTCTTTTGTAAAGCACTTTGAGATCTACAGGTGAAAGTTCTACATAAAAGCTAGGGGTCATTACACACTCTTCAAAGCATGTTGAGAACTTTACTTACATACAGTGTGTATATCTTAATAGAAACATTATGAAAATGTAATCATCCACACACAGATGGGCGGAAAATTTGATTTACTGCAAGAATTGTCAGTGTGAGAGGCAAGGTGGGTGAGGTAATATCTTTTAGGGGACCAACTTCTGTTGGTGGAAGGGACAAGCTTTTGAGCTTCACAGAGCTCTTCCTCAGATCTGGGGAAGGTAAGACTGTCCAAGCTAAATACGAGGTGGGAGTGGTTTACATATTATAGGAGACCAGGTACAATGAAGTGGGCAATTAACACCTTTCTTTCCCCTAGAACTGAAGTATGAATTGCCGACTTCAATTTAAGTGGTCTCCTACAACATGTGTGAACCCTTTCTGCCTAACAATTTGTCCCACCTTGTATTTAGCTGGCATGTTCTGGATACCCTACCTTCCCCAGACTTGAGGAAGAGCTCTGTGAAGCTCTAAAGCTTGTTCCTTCCACCAACAGAAGTGGGCCCAGTAAAAGATACTACCTCACCCGCCTTGTCTCTCTCATCCTGGGACCAACACAGCTTCAACATCACTGCAAACACTAATGGGCAGTGAAACATAAGCCAGTAACAGAATTTGGGCCCACACCCTCCTCCCACACTCAGTCACCAGGCTAGACATGTGTTTCCCTGTTAGCATATTGAGAGGCTGAATTCTTGAGTCTGAGCATTTCTGTAGTCCATTCCTTTTTGGAAACATTTTGCACTGGTATGTGTACTAACTACTGGATGATGCTGCCTTCTTAATTTAAAAAGAAGTACTTGTGGCACCTTAGAGACTAACAAATTTATTTGAGCATAAGCTTTCATGAGCTACAGCTCACTAAAGCTTATGCTCAAATAAATTTGTTAGTCTCTAAGGTGCCACAAGTACTCCTTTTCTTTTTGCGAATACAGACTAACACGGCTGCTACTCTGAAACCTTCTTAATTTAACTATTTAGTAAATCAAGGAAAGCTTGGAAAGTAAGGAAGGGTTTCTATATTAAATTAGCCAGCAGAAGGAGCCTATAAATCTCTGTGAATGAACATTGAAATAATTAGTTTATTATTTTAAAGTCTACAGAAACTGCATTCCTTTTGGTCACATGAAGTTCTACTTTATCTGTTTTGCTCGGGTCCCAGCTTGGATTGCAGCTCTGTGGTACTAGGTGCAGTACAAACCATAGGCACCGACTCCGTGGGTCTCCGGGGCTGGAGCACCCATGGGGAAAAATTGGTGGGTGCTCTGCACCCACCGGCATATCCCCGCCCTGCCCTGCCCCAGCTCACCTCCGCCTCCTCCCCTGAGCGTGCTGCGTCCCTGCTTCTCCCCGTAGTTCCCAGCGCTTGCCACCTCAAAACAGCTGTTTCACGGTGGCAAGGGCTGGGAGGGAGGGGGAGGAGAGGGTACAGGGCGTGCTCTGGGAAGACGCAGGGCCGGGGTGGGGATTTGGGGAAGGAGTCCAATAGGGGTAGGGAGGGCGTGGAGTTGGGGCGGGGACTTTGGGGAAGGGGTTGGAATGGGGGTGGGGCAGGGGTGGAGGCGGGGCAGGGCCGGGGTGAGCACCCACTGGAGCCGGGAAAAGTTGGTGCCTATGGTACAAACATAAGGAGACAAATCCCTACCCCCAAGATTTTACAGTCTGAAGACAGGCTTGTCAGAGGAACTGACGGGGGTTGGGTGCCCTGCTCCAACTGAAATTCAGACTCCTTTTTCAAAATACCAACATAAATAGGCAAGATGGACAATGAGTGACAGGGGACGCAGGTGCACAAAGCGGGAAAGTGACTTGTCCAGGATCACACAGTTGGTCAGTAACAGCAAGAAAGAGAACCCAAGTCTCCTGACCCCTAGTCCCGTTCCCTACCTCTAGGGCACCCTACCTCCCTTGTAGCCTAGTGAAATTCAGACTTCCTGAACAAAAACATGAACTATAGTTAATTAATTAGCATAAATTTCCCCCCTACTTTTTGATCCTCATTTTCTCTCTTAATTAGAGCCCCTGCTAATATATTTGAATGGTTTCAGAGTAACAGCCGTGTTAGTCTGTATTCGCAAAAAGAAAAGGAGTACTTGTGGCACCTTAGAGACTAACCAATTTATTTGAGCATGAGCTTTCGTGAGCTACAGCTCACTTCATCGGATGCATACTGTGGAAAGTGTAGAAGATCTTTTTATACACACAAAGCATGAAAAATACCTCCCAGCACCCCACTCTCCTGCTGGTAATAGCTTATCTAAAGTAATGTAACAATTGTAAGGAGAGTGATCACTTTAGATAAGCTAATACCAGCAGGAGAGTGAGGTGCTGGGAGGTATTTTTTCATGCTTTGTGTGTATAAAAAGATCTTCTACACTTTCCACAGTATGCATCCGATGAAGTGAGCTGTAGCTCACGAAAGCTCATGCTCAAATAAATTGGTTAGTCTCTAAGGTGCCACAAGTACTCCTTATATTAGAATGGGTGTTTTTTTAGAATGAATGGGTCTGCAGATAAACACCTTTCTTATGTCTGGTTTCAGAGTAACAGCTGTGTTAGTCTGTATTCGCAAAAAGAAAAGGAGTACTTGTGGCACCTTAGAGACTAACCAATTTATTTGAGCATAAACTTTCGTGAGCTACAGCTCACTTCATCGGATGCATGCTGTGGAAAGTGTAGAAGATCTTTTATACACACAAAGCATGAAAAAATACCTTCCCCTCACCCCACTCTCCTGCTGGCAATAGCTTATCTGAAGTGATCACTCTCCTTACAATGTGTATGATAATCAAGTTGGGCCATTTCCAGCACAAATCCTTTTTTCTGGATTTTTTCAAGTTGGGCCATTTCCAGCACAAATCGTTTTTTCACACAACGCACAGTCAACCTGTGGAACTCCTTGCCAGAGGATGTTGTGAAGGCTAAGACTATAACAGAGTTCAAAGAAGAACTAGATAAGTTTATGGACAATAGGTCCATCAATGGCTATTAGCCAGGATGGGCAGGGTTGGTGACCCTAGCCTCTATCTTGTGTGTCAACTCAGAAGTGGATGCCAATGCATTAGCTAATAATAGAAGTTTAAGGCCTATGGCAAGTCTGACCCTCTGTAGACACTCTCTGCACAGACTTTCATTGAAGCCAGTGAGAGCTTTGTAAGTGGAGTTCTTGCAGAATTGGCTTCTATTTTGTATGGTATCTTTCACACACGCTCTAGTTCAAAGTGCTTTGTGGAGTTAAATAATGTGGAAGGACATAGATGAGTCATACACATAAAACAAGAGGAGATTTTTTTTTACCTGGAAAGGAAACAATGTGATTCTGTCACTACCCGTGTACCTGCTGCAGAGAAAGAAGACATGTGTTGAGAGTCAGAGGGGGGCAATAGGAATCAGGAGCTCTGGGATCTGTTCCAAAGTCTGCCTCTGATTCACGGTGTGACTTTGAGCAAGGAACGTAGTAACCTCTCCAGGCCTCATTTTCTTCATGTGGAAAATTGGGTTAATATCTAATTCTGTAGGCCTCCCCTCCCCCCCCCCCCCCGCCCAGAAATCCCAACTGATCCAGTTTTGCAGGACTTCTCTTTAGTACACCAAAGGGTCCAGGTGCTTTGAGCTAGTGGACAAAGGAATCAGGGACCATGGATTCACCAAGTAATTTCTCAAAGCAACAGCACAGCCCTGTGAGGCATCCACAGTTCCTAGTCGGTCAGATCCTGATTGCTGAGGGCCTCACGGGCTGTAGGAGAGAGAGCCACTATTCAAGCTTCTTGCAACCGGGGCATTATCCTTTCCCTGTATTTTGTAGGGCCTCCAGCCGTACATCCTATAATCTGGGTTCTCCAGAGACTGACTTTGTCCTTAGGCACAACTGCCCTGTACTGGATGGAATTAGGACTCAGTTCTGTGTCAGAGGCTCTAATCTGCTAACCATTCACGGAGATTCCCCTTTAGCTCAAGTGTACTTCTCCTCGCTGTCACTGTGAAATGCCAAGTGGTCACATGACACAGCATGAGCGCCTCAAATTTGTCACAGCACTTTTTGTTGCCCTGATTCATTCATTGGTTCATTTTATCCCTTTGTTCCTTGACACCCACGCACAGTGCTTTGTCTGTAACACACTGTACTGCTGTGATGACCCCAGTTGTTGATGGTACAATTGATTCAGTGTTGACTGACCGTGCAGTGGGGCAAAGGTTATGCTAAATACACTCTTCCTGTTTGGTTGTTTTTTTTTCTTTCCATGAGAGAGAACTTTACCCTGTGGAGCATCAAGATCAAGACGTTCTTGTAAGTAAATTTTTACATCGGATCCATAATCGCAGGGTCCGGTGCTACAGGTGATTTCCGCTTGCATAGAGCAATTTTATGTCAAAAATAGGAGAGGATCTCAGTACTGGGAAGCACTGGTTCTGTCTCTCAGAAGCTCTCTAACCTCCTGACCTCAGGAAAAGTCAGTAACAGACAAAATAGATGTTAGAGATTTCAAGGACCTCTAATCCACTCCTGCCAGCCAGTGCTGAATTGTTTCATGTACTCTGCTTTCTGGTGCTTTGACCATCCTAACGTTAAATATCTCATGCAATGGAGACAACTGGTGTTTTAGCCACTGGGTCCTCTAAACCTGCTCTGAATGAGGTTATTAATGTGCCAATAGGTTTAAGAAAATGGTGGCCGGTCAACGTAGCACTCCCCTCAGCTGCTGCCACAAGGGCTGGAGCTAATAGACCTTTGGGGGGAAAAGCCTCCAGAGATCAGTACAAGGTCCTGTTTAGGCAGGGATCTCAGCAAAGAATCCCCTTCACATCCATTGCATCTGAGTCCTGTTTCTTCACTACTGTGAGGGACACTATAGAGATCTAAGAGTGAGCGCCGTCCTCTCCTAGACTTGTATCATCTTCAGCCAGATGAGTTCAGTGGGGCATCCGTGCCAAAGTGTGGCTAGTTCACTGCAGCACTAATCAGGATAACAATGCTCAATACGTACACCGTGCTTCGCAAACTGAGGCTCCCAGGTAAGCATTTATGACATGGTATCCAGGTTTTGGGATCCTGCAGGGAAGAAACTCTTATGCTTGCAACACCTTAGTTCTGTTTCTCCCAGGGGAAGAAATATCAAGATCTGAGTGGAGGTGCAGCGTATTCTGCTGGCTGCCCCAGCAGCCAGACCAAGTGAATCTCATTAGCTCCCACGCAGCAGAGGTGAAAGGCTGTGAAATTCTCTTCAGGAGAAGCTAGAGTGTCAGACAGGAAGTCCTGGGAATAGCCCACTCAGGAGACAGCTGAGGCCAACCTTGCTCTGTTCTGAAGTTCAGGACTTCATCTGAAGTTGCTGCCTGAAGTGAACGAAAGCAGCTGCCAGAATTGTGGAGGTAAGGGGTCAGTAAGAGCCCATCCTGCAAAGGCTGTGCTGTTATGTTACTTTACAGTATTAGAGTAACAGCCGTGTTAGTCTGTATTCGCAAAAAGAAAAGGAGTACTTGTGGCACCTTAGAGACTAACCAATTTATTTGAGCATGAGCTTTCGTGAAGTGAGCTGTAGCTCACGAAAGCTCATGCTCAAATAAATTGGTTAGTCTCTAAGGTGCCACAAGTACTCCTTTTCTTTTTACAGTATTACTTTCCCTTGATGGAGAAAAAGAGAGATTGGTGACTTGCCCAAGGCCAGCCAGCGTGTCAATGGTAGAGCAGAGACTGTACCTCCCTGGTGTTTCCTGGCATTGAGCTTCAGTCACTAGAGTCTCTAATCTGGAAAGTCCCTCCACTAAGAGGCGCGTTCTCTCCCCTGAGCAAATCAAGCCGCTGGCTGCTTGGTAAGGGCATGCCATGCTTTACACACACAGGAGACTATAAACCTTTCAATAGCTTTTATTGCTCAGGTAATGGAGAAGGGCTGGGCACCAAGCCACATGTGCTCAGGGGGCCCTGTGCAGCGCGGAAATGCTGCCAAGTAGAACAGATAGAACCAAAATTGCTAGAGATCCTCTGGGCATTTCCAAAGACCCCACCCTAAAGCCGACAGAACAGCTGGAACTGGCTGGGCTCTCCATAAGCTCCAGACCCGGGTGCTCTAGCTTCACTGGGGAGAAAAGTGTGTTAAAGGATCTAGGCAGCAATTTACAATGGAAACCTTTACTCCTGCTCTCCTCTCTAGCATTCCGCCCCAACCCACTCACTGATGGGCAAAGGGCAGACCATAGGAAAGCAATTGACTGGAGACCTGGGACTTTCTCCAGAAGTCTGGACTGTTTGGTAGTCGCATGGGCTAATGTCTCCTTTTTTGGACTAAATGAATTGTTAGGACTGTTGTAATACTATTTAACCACCGTGTAGCACCTTTCATCAGCTACACACGTCGCATCACTGAAATGCAGCCTGCTCCGAGGTGGAGAATGGAAGGGGAATGTGGGGTAAGGATACCACCCCTGCGTTCACAACAGTGCCTCAAGTTCTTTCATGTCCAGGCAGAATCATGTTATTTTTTAAGAGTCTTATAAAGACACCCACTAAACTAAACTGATCACCCTGGAAAGATGAAGGACTGCGTCAGCCTTGCTGAGCTCTGAACCTGCGGCTCAAGGAAATCTCAGTTGCTCCATGCTGATTCTTAGGTCACTAAGCTGCCCCGTTAAATGGTGGATCTTTAAACTTCTGCAAAAAAAAAAAAAAAAAAAAAGCCACCAGCAACTAGGTTTTGAAGCTCTAATTCCCTCTGGAATCCACTGTCTCCAGAGTAAAAGCTTTCACGTTTTGTTCCCCTGGTTACATTTGATAAAGTGTTAAAATGAGCTTCGTACCCAACACTAAATCTGAATCAACCCGGATACTTACAGTAAGCACCTTGCCAGGCTCAGGAAACACAAACAATCCTATACAAGAGGTGACTTTCTGTTTACTGCAGTAGTCGCATGCCAAGCACGTACCTCACCTATGGAACCCAACCATCACCTGGGATTACAGAAGCAGCTTTTTAAAAACTAACACTGCTGCTTGAATGTATTCGCCAAGGTGACTGGCATCAAAGCTGGGGCCTGGGGTACTGACAATGGGAACCCGACCATAGCAGTGCTTTACCCTTACAGAATGATTTCCATTCAAGGATCTCAAAGCACTTTACACATATTAACACTTCACAACACCCTGGTGCACTGGGTAAATATTCTTATGCCCACTTCAGAACTGGTGTCTCATCTTATCTTGCTCTACACATACAGGCTATTCCTTTTCTTCTCACCCCCACCCAGCTGGAATGGCCAATCAGTGAGAACTCAGGAGTCCTAACTTGCAGTGTTCTGTTCTAGCCATTAGACTAGTAACCAAATACACAAGTAACCAGATGACTAGACTGTACTGGTGGTAAGATAACTCTGGTACCATAGCCCATCTGCCCTGTCGGTCCCTCACTGGTCTGTTCCATTAGCATGAGTGGATCCAATGAGCTGAACTAGCTTATGGTGAGAGACAGTTTCAGTCTCGCTCTGAACAATTTCAAGGAGTGGAAAAGTGTATTGAGTGGAATGAATTACATTCCCTGTTCCCAAAGTATCTCCTGTTATATTTCAAATGATCAGCGCTGCCTTTAGACATTGATGCTCATCACCTGGGTAGGTCTAGAGGAGGGAAATCGGGGACTGCTAGCCTGGCATGGTAAGGAGACCCTGTTTTGTTAATTGCAGGTGAGGTGTGCACAATGGATGTGTGACTAAGGGCTGATGCACCATGTCTCTGAGCGACAGAAGGGTGGGTTTATTCTACACAGATGGAGAATCTGAAAGTCCATAACCAATGGCTCCTTAACCAGAGGGGCGGGCTGGGCTGGCAGAATTAGTGCAGGGCTTCTCACTTTTAGTCCTGACTCATCTGCTGATTCACTGAGCGGCCTTGAGTCACTCTCTCAGTGATACCAACTCTTGTGGGTGATTTTTGGTGTTTTACTTAACACCCCAAGCCCCAGCTCCTGGAGTCAGGTGATCATGGGCAAATCTAGGTTTTCATTTAAAAAAAAAAAAGTTTCTAGCCCTCATGGAGCATGCAGAAAGAAAATTGAAAATGTGGCTCCTAAAGGCTCAAAAGAGCTGCAGGAGCCAAATAAAAAGCATCCCATATTAAAAAAATCTCATGATTTTCAGCAATCTCTTGATTTTTTTTTTTTTTTGTGGTGGGGGGGTTGATTCGTTATGTTTGAATGCTCATTGGGTTGGCAATGCTGCTCTCGGCCTCAATTTCTTTATATGTCACATAGGGATAAGAAAATTGAGCTACTTAGTTACTGTTTTTGTGGAGAGTTGACATTAAAATACTAAAAGGCACCGGACTGTGAGTCAGGACACCCGGGTTCTATTCCCAGCTCTGACATGCTCTGTGACTTTGGGCAAGTCACTTTACTGTTGTGTGCCTCTGTTTCCCCACCCACATCTGTATTGTCTATGTAGCTTGAAGACGCCTCCGGGCAAAGCCTGTCTCTTGTGTCTGTACAGCATATAGTGTCATGGACCCTGATCTCAGGCAGGGGTCTTTAAGCGCTATCGCAATACAAATAAATAGCAATTTCAAAAAGTCTTCTTGCCTGACTTATGCAAAGCTACAGCTAATACGGCGCTCCTGGCTGTTCTCACAAGCCTGGTAGTGGGAATCATCAAGTATCTTCTTTTTAAGTTGTAAAGTAGTTTCTCTTTTAAATATCAGCCCATAAAGGGCCTCGCTGTTGGGTCTCAAAGACCATGGACCAAATCCAAAGGCAATGTGGATAGTGGTGTACGTTACACATAGGTAAAGCAGGTGTGAGTCTAAAGTAAGAAAGTGGATGGTAAGAAATCTCTCCCCCATGTTCCTGCCTAGACATGCCCAGCGACATGCAAACCCATTATATTTCACACCCTCCTGCTAGCATTTTCCCCATTCTTCTACCTCAGTGTGTCAGTTACACCATTTATTTCACCTCTGAACTTAACCCTGCCTCTGGGGCTGAGGAGCTCTGGTCCTTGTCTCCAGGGCCTGATCTAAGGGTGGGCAAGGCTGGCAAATGCTAACTGGCTCCTCCATGCGTTGGGCTCTTCGGCTGGGCAGTGATAAAGCTTCCTGGTATTAGGTTCCCCCAAGTTCTTTTGCTGTGTAGAACTTTTAATGTGCATCTGTGGGCGGCCGGGAGGCAGTGGAATTTGAGCCAGTCGCAATAATGCCGCTTGCCTTCCAATCCCTGCCTCTGTCCAACAGAGTGATTAATTACTGAGTTTTTTATTTGCCTTAGCAGCTCTACCAGGGAGATAAGGAATGCTAATGCACCCATCAGAACATTGGATTTCCCAATGCCCGCATACCATGGGATTGTTATCTGCCATTATAGCAGGGCCCCTTGGTGAGCAGTGAACTGCAGTAGTTGGTTTTAGGCCAATCTCCACGTGTCAGCCCCCTGTATCCTCACATCCGTGGGAATGACTCTTACTAATGCTTCAAATGTTTAAAGATGATGGCAGAAGGGAGGATCAGGCACTCCTGCCCAACTTGCAGCTGCAGGAGGCCCTAGATTAAGGGGGCCAACCATGCCAGGGACAGGTAGTGATGAGAGCCACACTTCAGCGTAAACTGTTTCATGCTAACTGTGAGCTCTGTGGGGATAACAGCTTGGGCCCTCTAGGGCTTTGGGATGATCTCCTGCTTTCTCCCAGTCCTGCTTGGGATATAGCACAGATTTCCTCCAGATATTATTCGCCTAACTCTTTGCATAAAGGCATAGCCCAGTTCTGGAAGTGATCCGTCTCCCCTACCCTCATTTCCACGCAGCTGGCATGAGATAGGAGGTTGAGGCTGATCTTCCCTCAGTCTTTGCTGGAGGCCCTAAATTTCCTTGCACCACCCCGGCAGAGAAGCCTTGTATGCAAAGAAAGGCTTGCACAGGGGTAGCAGGAGCAGAGATGGGTTTGAATCCAAACACTCTGGATTCTGCTACAGGTGTGAACTTTCTGAGCTGGCTCCCACCTCTTCCAAGCTGGATTGAAATGCCCCCCACCCGCCCCCCCCTTCTTTTTTTTTGGTCATGTGGATAGCAATGTAGGTGGCAATACAGGTTAAATCCATCACAATGCACAACCAAGGGGTAGCAGATTTACCTCCTGAACAATATAGTTCTAAAAATACAGACAGAAATGAGGAAGTGATTGTCCTATCCCATGGGTGATCTGATCCCATGCTGCTCATGCACCTTTACACCATCGCATATGCTGCAGGGTGTATTTAGAGATTCAGGGAGGGGCAAATCTTAGTCCCACTGAAGTCAACAAGAGCTCCATTGGGATCAGGATTTATCCCAGAATGGCTACAAACTATGCTCTCCAGCTCTACGGAGCTGGCTGACGGACCAGCCTCAAGCAAATTC